AAGAAAACAGACATACAATAGAAAAAGAAATCAAAAATTTAGTTTACTAACTATTAAAAAATTGATAAAACTCTGTCCTGACTGATCAAGAGACAAGAAAGAGAACACAAACTGCAAATATCAAGAACAAAAAGGGACATCAGTACAGATCTGACAGACAATAAAAGGATAATAAGGAAATAGTATATAAATAACTTTAGGCCAATATGGTCTACAATTTAGGGAAAATTTCATAAAAACTGGAACTGAAAAAAGAGGAAACTGAAATTTTAAAAAGCTTTATGCCTATTTTAAAAACTTCAAAGCTCCAAGTTTCACTGGTGAATTCTATCAAATATTTAAGAAATAATTCCAGTTCTACACAAACTCTTGCAGAAAATAAGAAGGAACACTTGCCAACTCATGTTGAGACCAGTGCTACTCCAATAGCAAATCAGAAAGACATCACCAAAAAAAGTGTATAAACCAATATCCCCAGGAACACAGATGCAATAATCTGCTAACTGTTTTATTCACAACTATCTGCACACAAAGGCCAAATGATGGTTCCACCCTGACTGTGAAATCAAGTGCAACACTGAGGTGCTTACTGCGCAGAGATCAAATCTGTCGGCACTTTCTGGATAATTTGGGTAGTTGGGAGACCTATGTCCTAACACTTGGATGTTATCCAGGGAAAAAAAAAGATCAAAAAAGATACTTTGGAAAGTTCTTCTTGAACTTCAACCTCAACAACTTAACAACCTACCTTTAAGAGAAGAAAGCAGATTATAAAACATTTCACTTTCACAGAACATATCCACACTAATACAGAAAAACGTCTGAAAGAACAGATCATAAAATGTTAACAGTACTTCTCTCTGGATGGTGTGCCTACTTTAATTTTCTACTTTTTCCTCATTCTTAGTTTCTAAAGTTTTTACTGAGAAAGCGTATTATTTTTTCAATAAGAATTTTAATCTAAAAATATGAAAATGAAGTTATCATATAATCTGAGGTTCCTGAATCACAGTTTGAGAATGAGATGTTTCATTTCAAAATCTGGGTGCTTCCAACAGGCTATGCTTCTCAGCCTTTTTCATGTCAAGACACACCGAATATTATGCTTGTATGGCGCTATGGGTAAATTGACAAGGCTGCTGGAAACGGGAGGCAACAAGTCTGAGCTCATGCTGTCCCAGGGCAATGGGACCACTGGAGGGCTGATGGGACCTCAGCACATCTACAAGAGGCAAGCTGCTGCTTAGCATTAGGACGCTCTGATTTATGGGATCTCAAAACCAGAAACAGGAGAAAACTCTCCTGATGAACACAGTACAGCTCTAAAAATATACAATTCCATGTGCTACTTTCAGGTCACTATTCAAGACAGAAGGAGAAGACTAAATTACTATCTATGGCCTGGCAAACACAGCCAAAACAAGTTGTAATCCACATTTAGAACATTCTCAAATAGCATACATTTTAATTGAAAAATATCAAAGCGGAATCAAATAGCTCCTATCTTAGTTTGCAGACTCTACAATATGTAGTTTCAAAAACGCATTAACAACAATCTGGCTCCTTCTCTCCAGGCGTACACAGGAAATATCACTTGGCATATGAGAGTTATTCCTATCAAGATGAGTTAGATAATAAGCAAATGATTATTACCTCACATTATATGAAACGGAAAGAAGCCATTAATGCAGCATTAAAGTCATCAATTTATACATTCAGAAGCCAACAAAATAAAACATCAGTTCTCAAAGCATTATTGTCTCATTCATACTACCATATTAACTGTACACAGTAAAAGCTCTTAACAAATATTACAATCTGTATGAAATACAAAAGGGTTAAGCTTCCTATTGTCATGTTAACTTATAGACTTCTCAATTTACTTACTGGCTCAGAGCAGGTGTCTAGTGTCAAAGCTCAAAGGGTCCTGTATGTCTGAATTACTCCAACATTCTGAGCATCCTTTCTCAGAAGCCCACCACAAGCTCCCTAAGCCCTCATCCAACAAAAGGGAAGCAAGGGGAAAAAGGCAATTGAATATCCCCAAATTACTCTTCTGGGAACTTATTGATCCTTATACATTATTTAAGGCAGGCCTGGTCTACTTTAGTAAGTGCTGGTGAAGAAAGCATAGGAAGCAAATTCAGAAAATGCCAGAGCCCCAAGTTTAGGATTTCACAAAAACTACTCCCCTTCTATTATTCTCAAAAGGATACTAAGCAAATATGGCTTTTTATCTACACTTATTGTTCCAGTTGCGGTCTGTGTACACATTTGTGTACAACAGGAATAAAAAATTTGAATATGACAATTCATAAACTCATATATGAGTATATAATACAAAATGTATATATTATATACCTATATATACACACACTCATGGATTTCTAAAATTAACTCGGAAGAAATAAGCAAATATCCACTTGGATATGGTCAAAAGTTATATTCTTACTAGTGGCACTAAAAATTAAAAAAAAATAGTTGAGTGAGGCAGGAGCCCTTCCTTCAAAGAATTTACTATCTAATTAGGAATCAGACAAGCAAGTCAACAATTAAAAAAGGAAAGCAGATAAGGCTAGGTGTAGTGATACTGGTACAAAAAGTCCTACAGAAACATTAAGACGCACAATTCATGAAGAAGAGAGTACGGAAAAAAGGTTTCCCAAAAAAGCTAATGCTCGACCTAAAACATGCAGGACTAATTAAATACAAAGGTGGGAGCACCTAGGCTAAAGGAGCTACCTGTGCTAAGCATGGAAAGCACTATGGGGCTGGGAAACTGTAAGCTACTCTGTCCCAGAACACAGGACACACGGCAGGGCCGCCTTACAGGACAGGCATGCAGACTCTGGAAGGTCTCGTGTCCTGAACTAGAAAATATGAACTGCATTCTACAGTCAACGGTGAACAATGAAATGTTTTAGGCAGAATAATAACACTAGTAGTGGTGACTGATAACAGCTTAATGACTCCTAAGTACTCAGTATGTCAGACATTATGCTAAGAGCTTTACATGTATATCAGCTCACATCATTTTTCCACAACCCGATCTGTAAGATCATGCCCATATTACAGACAACTGAGGCTCAGAGAGGTAAAGTGACTTGTCCAAGATTACTACCTAGAAAGCAGTACAGCCAGACTTAAAGGGTCACCTTGATAGAATCCTCATTGAAAGATGATCAATTTGACAAGCAGTGTAAAGTATGGATTAGTGAAGAACATATAGAAGAAAGCCTTGTCAGGAGACTGTTGCAAGAAACCAAGTGAAAAGATGTTAAGAGCCTGAGCTAGGGCTGTGATAACTGACGTACACAAGCAGGAAGCAAGAGCCATTTACACAGACGCCCAGGATGTGGCGAAGTTAAGCTGAGGCTTCTCCATTGTATCAGTATAAGTGCAATGAGTTACTTCTCTCTCTCTTCCCTGACGGACTATAAATCTAGGTAACCCGTATCTTATTCCTCACCATATACATAATGCCTAGGACAACATTGCCTGGCACAGAGTGGCAACTAAATATTTGTGGATGGAAGAAAAGAGGGAAAGGAGAGACGGAAAAAGAAGAGAAGACGTCTAGATTTCTGGCTTGGTACAGACAATGGTACCACTAACCAGGGCACTGAGATAACAGTGTACTCCAAGTAACAGAAGGAGCAGATTATAAGAAGGGGAGGTAAATTTATATAAATATGTAGGAAGTTTCACATTTGCCTTTAAGTTACACACTATATGTAAAAACAACTCCACAAGAACTTTATTACTACTTTATCCACTAGTATACATGGAATTGTGTAAGAATAATGATTCTGACACACTAATAGAATTAATATTGCCATTCCTATGGGACTCAAAACATTTTTTAAACCATTGATCTTTAATCTTCTGAACATACCTGGACAGCTGAGAATGAGAGAATGAGAAGGAAACTAGCCCGTGGCCACTAATGGCACCTTGGACCGGAAGCTTAAGACCAGCCGGGGAGAGTCCTCAGCACTGGCACGATTTTGCCGGTTTCACAACTACCAATGCCTCCCTGCTCTGAGCTCTTTCACTTCGATTATTTATTTCATCCTAATGCTGCTTTAAGATAAAATATGCATACCATGTGCTTTCAATCAAAGGAGAAAATGCATGTAAAGCATTAAATACAGTGGCTGGCACACAGTAAGGGCACCATAAATGTTTGTCATCATCCCAGTGACCGTGATTATGATCACTGTGAGTCCTACAACAGTTTAACACTTAAACCAACACAGGGTCAGACAAACGTAACTGCAGGCCCTGTAAATGAAACGCAGGTAGTAATTATCTTCCTCCCGTACGGTTCCCCCTGCCTTTTCACACACGGCTCCCTCAAATCGAAACACCCCCCCATCTTCTACCTTCTACTCATTAAGGTTGCTTTCTGAAAGTCACTTCCTCTCAACAATATCATCTCACACCCCTAGTTAAACTCTCACTCTGTATTTTTCCTTCATCAGGATTTGTCGAAGTCTGTTAAGTACATACTTGAGTGTCTACATGACTCATGAGGTAAGGGACCATGCATTTCTGCTCACAATCATATCCCTAGGACCCAGAAAAATGGTTCATACACATAAATGATACTCAGGAAACTTTTGCTGAATCATATATCAAAAAATGATCAAATCCCAGACTATATTTACTAGTCTATATCTGACCAACTCTTTACCTATCTATAAATTCTTTTCTGCACTGAAATCAAAATAAAAGACTGTATACACTTACCAATTCTTTACCCCAAAACTGGCTGAGACTTTTTTAAAACAGTTTCAATTTCAAATCTCTCCAAAATTCACATCTTAAAGCAAAACACTTAAGAGAAATCAATTAAGATGTTTTAAAATTATTTTAATAAAGTCGTAAGAATCTTTGTTAATAAATACTTATTTAATACCTATTCTGACTTTGAAGAAATATTGTTAACTGATGCAGATTTGAATTTTTCATTTTTAAAAGATTTTGGAAACTCTTACCTTGGCATTTCCCAATAATAGATGTAAAATCATCTTTTGCAGACCTGCAAAATGTGTAAAATTAAGACAACAGTTTTGCCATAACAACAGTACTCTATAACAGTATGTCACCACAAACACTTCAGAGCAGGCAACTTCTTTAGACAACATTAAATCATTCCTTCTCTCACACAGATAGTTCTGTGCCTCAAGACTCTTCTCATGGGTGACAAAGTTTTCTTCCAACCTTCTTATTTCACTAGGGACAAAGCTACACTAGGAATACAAGTGATACAAGCATAATCCCATCCCCAAAGGCTCTGGTCCAATGAATCTGAGGTAGGGCCCAAGCAAAAATATGTATGTTTTTTAAGCTCCATAGATTGATCCTGGTTAAGAACCACTGGTCTACATCATATTACAAAGTTTAATCACTTAGGAAAAAAAAGTCTTGTTTTAGTAAGTCAAATAGAAAGTGATCATATTTATATCAGTGACCTATTTAAAATCTGCAATCTTAAAATATATACCGAAGTAGCCTAATAATTATATCTTCAAAAGTGAAAATTGATAAACCTTTTAGAAAATAATTGTGACAATTACCCAAAACTTTCATGTCCTTAGTATTTGATCCAGCAATATAAGTTCTGTAAAGTTATCCCTGGGGAATAATTACAGATAAGCACAGATATCAAGGAAATTAAGGCAGCCTAATTTATGAAAGAGAAAAGTATAGCCAATATAAAGTGATTAAGTATTAGATTTTACTATATAATCTCAATGAAATATTATGCAATTACTACAGGGAAAGATGCTGACAACATACTAATTTTCAAAATTTATCAAGAAAAAGGCATCAAATAGAATGTACAGTATCATTCTACTACCTATATGTAAATATGTTACACACACAGAAAAGTTTCAAAGAACCATATACCAAAATGTTAATAGTAGACAACTCTGGACAGTAAAACTTGTGCTTCTTTCCTAAATACTTAACTATATTTTCTAATATTTGTAAAATGATTAAGCATTACTTTTAAAACAAATTTTAAAGACTTTAAGATTTTTAGTCATTTATTAAAATATTATGTTATAACAAAAGCCAGGTATAAATACGGAAATAAATTTCCTCAAGAAATTGAACTATTCAGCCTCCAAATGGAATTGAGCAGAAAGGACATGATCTTTGAAGTAAAACTGACCTGATTTAAACCCTCTCTATGTGTAACCTGGACAAAATATCCAATCTGATTTCATTTTCTTTTCAATAAAGTAGGCCAAGTAATAGCTTCACAACTTAGGGAAAAGATTAAATGAGATATTACATATAAATTAGCATGAATGAGACCTAAGTAAATGTTCATTACTTTCATCTTTAATATTCTCGTAAATAATTGTTGTTCTTTTTGTTGGAAAAGGGGAGGGAGGGAGACATAAATTTGTTCTGTCAAAACTTCACAGAATTTATTGGAGGAAGAGGGTGACTTTTTTTATGAGTCTATTATTTTAACGCTTTTTTGTTGTGTTCCGTGATGGTTTCTAATTAGTTTCCATATTTATAACAGCCTATAATCATAAGAAACTATTACTACTTTACTCTTTAGGAAAAAAGGAAACATACATTAGCCACCTACAATCCACAACTACCACCAAATTACAAATTAAAGTAGCAATTCACAAGTCATTTTTTATCCACGTGCGCACCACACACAAGCAGGTTAAGTATGCGATATTAGAGCAAGTGATCAGAGTCACTTGCACTCACTACAAAACTAAAGTGGGGGAACAGCAGCCCCAGCCCCATCCTGCAAAAGGCAGAGCTGTCTCCTAAAACGAGTGTGTTTCAGCCTTGCATTTTTTCACAAAGACCATTTCCTATTTATAACTGCTTTCTAATATCGAATAATAACCCCAGATACTAGAACTATCTTTCATATTCTAATCCAATCAACAAATATTTACTGAGTACTGGGTACCTACAACTACTGCCACGGAAGGCAATCTTGGATTGTACATGCTCTTCACTGGAGTAAAGACGCACATGGAGTAGTGAGAACAAACATCTTAAAAACTCAGGCACAGCCACCATTCATAGCGTTTACTTCAAGGATCTACCTTGCCCTTTTCCGTTGTGGCCCCTTCCACATCTTTGCTTAAAGACACTTCCCTTCAGGTTACTGAAAAGGAAGTTTGCTCGTCTATATTTATTGAACAAAAGCAACCAAGTGCCATCTGTGAGCAAGTCAGTGGACTATGCCCTGTAATGCCCTCCCAGCATCTGCTTCCCCATCCCACTTGCAAACACGCCACTTACTCATCAAACATAAATTAGACACCTACCACGTTCAAGAAAATATAAAAGTGCTAAGGAAAAAGGACAGTCCGTGCCTTCAAGGAACATTCAGTGTAACTGGAGCTGTGGACTTCACATGCCATTCACATGAGTTTTAAGCAAATGGCATCCCCTGGAATTATGCACAGCAGTGGATATATACCTAAATACACTGGAGGAAACCCACATGCAAACATACAGGTATATATGTGACATGATCAAAAGGTAGCACAGATTTGTAGATAAGAGCATGAACACTGAAGCTAGGATGGCTGATTTCAAATCCTTGGGCAAGTTACTTAACCGCATTTTGCCAGCTTCCTCATTTCTAAAATAGAGAAAAATAGTTATACCCACTTCACAGGGGTTCTTCACGAGGGAGTTAACACATGTAAAACACAACAGTGCCCAACATTATTAGCACAACCTTATCATTAAGTATAATAATGTGTTGATTATTATAGGAGCATAGAGAATCAGCACCTAACCAATGAGGGGAAGGAGGATCCACTCGGAATGTGTTCCTGAAAGGCCTCCTGATAAAGTTGACTCACCAGATAAGAGTCTTTAGATATACTAAGTTACAAAGCTTTTGCAAACTACAGGCCAGATTACTAAAATCTTGACGAGCATCACTTCTGTTGCCCAGAAATCTTCCCTCACCACTTAATCTCAAATGTAGGAGTGAATTCCTAGAGGGCTGGAAATAAGTTTTATAAATATTATTTTATATGCTAACAACCCAGTAACAAATTCTTTTATAAAAGTAAGTCACTTTTTTTTTCCTTTTCATCACAATTTTATTAACAAGTTCCAGAAACCCTTGGTCAAAGCCTCCTTGACAAGCTAAATATCAATCCCATCCCCAAATACATATTCCAACCCTAACACCTAAAATCATTCTGTTAATGTTCTCGTTTCATGGGAAAGAGATGGAAATTTTGACTATTATCTGCTGCTCACAAAGAAGTCCATTGAGCCCATTTCTCAAAAGATACTTTTCACATCACTGCAGCCAATGGGGTAGGAAGTACTAGCCAGCCCATTTCTATGAGTAGTATCAGTTCAAATACTGTATCAACTTGATGCTCAATGTTGCTGTTAGAAAAGAAGGCCCTGCCTTTAATAGGCATCCAGATGAAGTACTGAAGTTCTGAAAGGCTGTCATTACTGCCAATCATTTCTAACCTGATGGTTTTGAGAAGGGTCACTGAGACTCCTGATCTAAAGTCGGTGCCCCAGTGGGGGCAAACTCTCTGTCTACTCCCCAAGATGTTGAGGGGTTCAGTTCTAGTTGGATAAATGGGAGAATAAACTTCACAAACAGAAGGCTAAAACAGTGTGTGAGTTAATAGTCACATAATCCCTTGAAAATTCTTAGTTATTGTAAATCAACCATAGCTAAATTTTAAAAAAAAGAATCTTAGTTCCCATAAATTAAGGAAAACTTTTCTCAAGGGAAATTTTTTAATATGAATAATATTAACAGTTACCTGATCTCCACACACTGATCTTGAACAGCAGCCAGAAGTTTTCCATTGCTGTCATGGGCAGAAAGAGAAACAAAAATCTATGTGAATATTTGTAGCCGTACTCAACATAGATGGGATTATTTTAAGAAGTTCAAATCATTTTTAATTTTTTTTCACATGTTTTAATTATCCAACTTTTGGTCTTATAATTAGATGAGTATATAGGTACAAAAGAATGATTAAATACAGTTAAATTAAATGAACACATTTAAACAATACTAATCATGTGTGACAAAGGCAATTTATATACAATCAAAACTCAAGGCTGGGGGTATAACTCAGTGGTAGAGTGTCTGCTTAGTATGCACAAGGTTCTGGGTTCAATCCCCAGTACCTCCATTAAGTAAATTAAATAAAAATAAACAAATCTAATTACCCTCCTCCCCCACTTTAAAAAAAAAAAGACTGCAAGCCAATATGGACCCCAAAATTAACATCCATAATGGATTTTAAATGCTAATCCAGGCAGAGGAACATTACATGAATTCTATACATCCTTACCTTGCAAGCACCAAATGCCAGTTTATCTGTTTATTAACCAAGCGAACCAGTCCATCAGGGAGCAAAAAAGGTGCAGGGCTGAAATCACAACACATGAGCTAACTTAAAATCTAATCATGAAAATTACATGTAAGTAGGTAAATATTATAAACAGCATAGATCTATAGCAAGCAACAGGGATTTTTTTTCCATTAGACTATAAAAAGTGAATACCAGCAAACCCAAAACCTAAAGTCACTTATTGGATATCTGAAATTTGACCACATTCACTTCTCTATTTACAGAAAAACATGGTGATTTGCTCAATGACATGAATTTAAAGTTCTTTCTAAGGAAAAGATACTGAGGGTGCCAGAAACAGAGCAGAGTGAGCTTAGAAGAGACCCTTCCTGCAATGTACACCTAGAATTTCTGTCTCAACTCACAAACACAAATTCTAGTGTACACCCACACTCACGAGAAAGAAAAGAGATCTCCAAGAACTACAAATGAAAAGAAAACTGAAAGTCAGAATTGGGTCCAGGACAAAGGGAGGAAGAAGAATGCAACACAAGAGTTAACACCTGGGTAGGAAATGAGCTGTGGGCCAGCGGAGGACAGGAGTTGGACGAGAGACTCCTGCGAAGGCCAGGACCCTCACGTGACTACACCATCAGTGAAAGAACTAGACAGACCTCCCCAGGGCCCAGGGAGGCTTACAGGAATCTCATCTCTGCCTGGAATCCTGATCTGTGGGGGGATGGGAATGAATCGTCCTGTGGAAAATCAAAACCTCAAGTGTTTACTGTATGCAAGGCTGGACTGCAGTTTCACTCACCTGATGCAAGATTCTCAAGCAGAAGGTCACAATAGCACCATTCACAAAAGACACGAGGGAACAATTCACCATATGTGCACCAGATAAAACAAATTAAAGGGGTAACACATGAAGAAATCAAGAAACCAGGTGGAAAAGAAGAATAAAGAAATAGTTTGACAGGGGAAGAAACAGGAAAAAAACACACTATAGAAATTAGAAAACACAAAATAAGATTATAAAAAATTAGTAATATACATCCAGTATATTTATGTTCATTTTTTAAAACACAAAATATTTAATGCCATGGGATAGATACAGATATAATAAAGATCAGAAACATACACATGAATGATGCAATCAACATGAGAACGGTAATTTCCTCTGGAGGGGAAGGGAGAAGAAAGGAGGGGCAGAGGCAGTACAGCTGAGGGTGAGGAGTGGACCTAAGCTATAACATTTTGCATGAAAAAAAAAAGAGGGCTCCCTGAAGCAAATATGGCAGAAGAGCAACAACCACTTTAACTCAGATATAGATACAAACCACAGGAGGTTCATTATACTATTGTCTATAACTCTCATAATTGAAAGGAATAAAAAAACAAAAAGAAAAAGCCACTTGAAACAAACATTGGCCCCAAAACCTTTAGGTATTACAACCATAAAACTCAAGAGCAGAAAACTGAACGAGTTTTTCGAAAGAAACGTAACATGGAGAAGACTAGATAATCATCCCGCGGTGAGTTCCCGACCTGCACACTGAGTGGCGTGGCCAACGCAGGCGAAGGGCTTCCTGGGAGAAATACCTCCCGACGCCTCACCTTAAGCTGATGTCACACAGAACAAGGCTTGTCACAGAGGGGCTCTTGCAAGTCCTCCTCCTCAATAAGTAACAACAGGACTTACTATCAAGAAGCAACCGCAACCAACGTTTTCTGCCAGCCCAGGAAAGGCAGCCTACCTCCTCCACACCTCTCCCCACTACCACCTTCTCCCCGGCTCCGTTCCCTACTCCATCACAACCCACACTCCCCAAAGTTAAGACAAAATTAAATCAGAAACTTACACACACACACACACACACACACACACACACACACATACACTCTAACAGCAGGAAAGCAAAGGAGCTAACCCCAAAGAAGAACCAAAGGTCTTTTTTATGGAACTAAAACTATATTATCTCTGGAGCTCTTTTAGATTAGACGTCCTTAAGGAAAAAGGAATCTGCTGTAAACAGTTCTACAAAGCAATTCCTGGAACACATGTATCTAAAAGCCGAATTATATCCTTGGTCAGAATAATCATTTCATAATTGTTCCTTTTATAGCTGAAAATTAGCACCAGGCCTAAAAACATACTTAATACACAAAAGAATTAAAAAGTAGCCAAGAACTGAAACCTAACGAACCTTCTCTGATGCACAGAGAAGGGATGACTCACCTGTACCAGATATATTGGCGTAAAAATAATAAACGGTCTGTAATAAAAAGAAACAGCAAAGCCAAATATGAATGAGCTATTCTTGAGGAATCATTTGCAGTTTTAGATTTATTGAGAATAAATAATAAAAATACACTGTAGACTGAGTCATTACAAAACAAAACACGGAGGACACAACCCTGAAGAGAATAAATATAATCTAATATACACTACTAACTTTTACAAGATCCTATATTTGTTCTATTAAGTCCCAAGTTTGTGTTATTCAAAACGAAGCATTTCCTAACAGTACAAGTTACAGTGATTTGAGATGCCAAATTTCACCTAAGAGGTTTTAATAAAATCAGAGTAGAAGTCAAAGTAATCACCCATTAAAACCAAAGTACTTATATAAAGATTAAGGTATCATTTTACACTTCATAGCAAAAACTTAAAAAATAATGATGCTTAAAATGAGGAAGTCCGTGGGAAATTCTATTGACAAGTAATGTTTTATACGATCCCATTTAAAACATATGTGTATGTGTGAACATGTATACACAGTTATGAAGTTATGAAGTCAACAGCAAAAGGTCTGAAGGATAAAAGATTATCTCTGGGTGGTAAAATGAAGATTTATTCTAATTTGTCGTTATTTATATTCTCTAAACTTTGTACAATTATTTTTATTACTTGTGTATATTTTCTAAATTTTCAAAATTTTACATTTGTGATAATGAAATTGAATTATGCAGCTGCTTCTTGTACCAGGAGATACAATTATAATTAATTTCAGGTACTCAACTCTTTTGAAACTGAATTTTCACTCTATAAGTAGCTGAAATACCCTGGTATAATAAGAATGGGCTTTGGAGTCAGAAAGACATGTAGTCAAATTCCAGATGAATGATCCCGGGCAAGTTTCCTCATCTAAAAGTATAAATTCTTATCATCACCTACACTTTGCTGGTCTGGTAAA